CTCAAATAGACGCGAGTTAAGGGCGTTTGCTTTGATGTGGTTAATAACTTTAACCACATCATTCAATACACTGTTAAATTCTGGTGACATTTTTCGGCTTGCCAGCATTTCCCTGTGAATGATACAATGTGTAGATTCGCACTCAGGTGCAACCTCCTTAATCCGAGCGGTTAAACCAGACAGCCGTCCGGTCATGGCAGCAGCTCCGTCTGTGCATATGCCGACACAAAAGGACCATTTTAGTTGTCCTGATATATAACCATCCAGTGACTTGAACAGTTCTGCTCCTGTGGTGTTGGTTGGCAAAGATAGTGCACATAATAAATCCTCATGCACATCCTCCTGATAAAGATATCGCACATAAACAAGTAGTATTGCCTTGTTGTCGATATCTGTAGATTCATCAACCTGTAGTGCGTACCACGGTGAAGTATTAATCCTCTCCAACAATTGTGTCTCAATGTCTTCAGCTATTTCATCAATGCGCCTAGTCACGGTGCTAGCCGACAAAGGCACATTTGCTACCTTTTTTACAGCAGCCTCTCCTAAAAGTTCACGACAAATGTCTTTAGTGGAGGGCAAGATCAATTCTTCACCGATAGTGAATGGCTTTTTAGCCTTAGCAATACGGTTAGCCACCAAATATGATGCTCTCAGAGCATTCTCCTTTATTGCTGTGGTGGCCCTCAGAAATATCTTCTGTCCTTCGTGTTCCCTTTTTTTTCTTTCAAAATACTGCAGGGGTTTGTCTTTTAATCCAGGGTGCTTGGCATTCAAGTGGCGAAGCAGTTTTGAGGGTTTCATTGCCTCATTAGAGAGCCGCTCACCACAAACTATGCAGAGTGGGGTTGGCGCGTGGGAATCACCTATCCCGATAAATCCATATTTCAAGTAGGACTCATTGTATTGTCTGTTAAAAGTTTTATGTTTCTTTGATGCTGAAGGCTCTTCTTCTGTCTCTTCACTGGGCCTTTTCTTTTTCCCAAGGAAACTTTCTGACGACATCTGTTTCGTACTCATCTTTGCTAATTTGTGGGTTAAATTTGAGCAAAAACAATATACACCTACATCAACTACTGTAAAAATGAGAAAGTACCAGTGAAAAGCGAGAAGAGCTAGCACCTGGGTACACGTTATGAATTATTAATGCACTTATGCACTTTATATGTTTGGACACTGGTAGAATTAATATAAATTATATGTAATTTCACTGTATAATGTTAGAGATAATTTGGGGCCTCTAGCCATGGCTCACACTTGGAGAGTACCAAAACCTGCTATAGTGTGCTGTTTGTATTCCCCCCCCCATCTATCTATGTCAGTGTTTCCCAACCATTGTGCCTCCAGCTTTTTCCAAACTACAACTTCCAGCATGCCTGGAGGGCCAGAGGCTGTCTGGGTATGCTGGGAGTTGTAGTTTTGCAACAGTTGGAGGCACCCTGCTTGGGAAAAATGGAGCTATGCTTGTCCTCTCTTTCTGCCTATCTATGCATCTATCTATATCAGTGTTTCCCAACCAGGGTGCCTCCAGCTGTTGCAAAACTACAACTCCCAGCAATGTGTGTCCAATCACACTTGGTCAATAGAGAATTCAATTCAATTCAATTCAATTCAATTCAATTCATTCTATTCCTATCCTATTCTATTCTATTCATCTTCATATATATACACAGGTACTACACAAACACACACACACACACCTACTCTCCACCTCATCCCTACCCAGCTCTATAGAGTCCACAGAGCCCATTTCATACAACGCAAACCCGCAGGCACACAACCCCCCCCCCACACACACAACCCGGCCCCCACAAGGGAAGGACCCAGATTCTCTCTCTCACACACACACACAGAGACGCGTGTATTGCAAGACACGTGTGCATGCCACCCCCCATGCCCAGAGACACCCCCCCTCCAGTCTCCCCCAGACAGGGAGGCGTGTTTCGAAGTGTGTGTGTGTGTGTTTGCACAAGGGTGTGACTTTTATACACACACACACACAGAGGGGGGAGGGGTTTGAGCCCCCCTCCCAGTCCTGCAGGCCCGAAACCCCCCTCCCCTCCCCCTCCCCCCATTCCCAGGTCTGGCTCAGCCCTTCGCCCCGCTGACCTGCCCGGCTTGGCTCGGCCCCAGGCGCCCTTCCTTCTCCCGAGACGCGGTGCGGGCGGCAGGCGGGGCGACGACGCCCCTTCCTTCTCCTCCTCCTCCTGCTCCGCCCACAGGATGCTTCCGCAGCCGCACCGACCTGCCCGGATTTAGGGGGAGGGAAGCGAGCGTCGGAACAAATGGAGACCGGAACAGAAGGAGTGGGACGCTTCCCCCCCCACCAGCTGCGCGGCCCGGTGCCAGGTACTCCACGGCCCGGCACCGGTCCGCGGACCGGGGGTTGGGGACCACTGTTCTATTAAATTTCATGGTATGGTAAAAAATAATAATATTGTGTTTATTTTCTAAAGAGCCATGCACCTTGTCACAGGAAGAGATGGCAAAAAATAATTTGCTTTTGAGATGGAGTTTTGACAATCGACCTTATTTTCTTCATGGAGAATTTGTTGAATTTGTATGCAAAGCATATCACTCTACAGGACCTCTATCAAATTCACCCTCTGAATTTAGAGTACAATGCCAGAATGGACAACTATTTTACCCACAATGCATTAGGAATCAAAGGTAAACAAAACATTATCTGCAGCGTATTTTCATACTTATGTAGTCCTATGTTTTCCTTATTCAAATGTATTTTAAGGATTTGGGTATATTGGCTAAAAATGATATTGGGACAATCAGTGGTGGGTGGCTCCTGGTTCTCTCTGGTTCTTGCGAACCGGTAGTAAAATTGGCGAGAGGTTCCACCCACCCGGCCGGACATCATAATGGATGATTTGCGCATGTGCAGAAGCACAAGAGAAAGAGAGAGCAAAGGGAGCACGCACGCATGCTCCCGTTGCGAACCGGTTGTAAAGGTAAGTAGAACCAACCCCTGGGGACAATGTATATTTAATATATTTATCCAAAGTGTTCAAGCACTTATTTATTGCTACCTCAAAAATATCAATTTCCAAAGACTTCCTGTTTGGTTTCTTTCATTCTGCCATAATTAGAAAAATAGAAGTTTTTTATTTTTTAATTTATCAAAGCTCCGTTGAACCTGAATTATTGGCAATATTAAAAACAGATATGTTCTACTCTATTAAATTAAGTATCTCTTACAGGATTTAGCTTGATGTAGAAGACTTGATGGATATTTATACAATGTATCTTGTAATTGTATAAAGCACCTTGTAAAATAGAGAAAGGGAAGGTATTCTAGTATGGGTACATAAAATGAAATTAAAGCAGGAGATAGTGTCAGTCTGTTCAAGAATATGAAAAAAAACCTTATTGATACAAAATTCTTCCTCTTTTTTTTTTTTAGATGAGAGATCAGTTGACAGAAAATGCAAAATTTTGCAATAGGTTATTTGGAAGTTACAATGATTTATATAATCTCTTTTTTGAGCTGAGCAGTACTGCTGTTTTCTCACTTATGAATAATTAATCTTATATTCTAAACCAAGTTTTAGAAGTACTGGTTATAATTATATACTCTGTGTCTCTTTGTAAGTAATGCTTAACATATTTTGTTTTTCTTTAGATAAGAAAATTGAAAAAAAAAAAACCTTGAGTGACTTCTATGCCTCATTTCATGTTGCAAGAAGCATGCAAATTAACTTTCATTATAGTACCCTTTTTTTTTTTTTTTTTTTTACTGCTGGAAGATATAGTTACTCAGGTTTATTGGATTAGCTGTTGGCTTCAGCATGCAACATCATTTGAAGACTAATTCTGATTTGGATTCAGATAAATAAATATTCATATTTATTACAATAAACAGCTTTGCATTTACCCACTTCATTTTTTAAAAAAATACCAAAATTCCTCCAAGTTATTCTTTTATTTTTCTTCTTAATAATATACCTTAAAAGACTTTTTCATATATGAGATTAATCAGCATGCTCCAGGTATTCTTATGTGACACGGTAACAGCAGGTTTAACAACTGACATTTTATATATTAAGCCTTTTGAGGGTGAAGGCTTATTCTCTGAGCTTAAGCCTGTTAAAAACATTTGCTTAACAAAATATTGTATTAGGCCCCTCAGGATGCACTTTTTCTCATACAAAAATCTTAATGGCCTTCCATGAAGTACCTTTATCCACTGTACAATTCCAGTGGGAACCCAAATTGCTATGATTGTGCATAGAGAAATTTAGGAACTCTATTATGAAAAAAGTCAAGAGCAGAACCTTGGCTATTGGATTTGAGAGGTTCATTGCAAGAACAACAGTTCAGGTAGAGAGATTGCCGTTACACCAAGTCTCCACTTCCAGGAATAAAGGAGACACCTATCTGAATGATTTGCTATTTCATCCTCAGCAACTACTTGAACAACAGATAGTATTTTTTGGATGGGGATATTTGAAGATCAGATGTCAAGATGAATGACAACCTGGTATCTGTCTCCCTTTTATACATCACTGGAAATAATGAGCAATCACACTTTTCCAGATAATCTCTTCATACCAAGGCCATCCCTCACAATCTGATTCAATTCGTGAGCAACATAGATGACTCTAACAAAGATTTTTAATGGGTTGCACTTTTCATGTTGTTCTATTGTCCCTGTCTATGATTGAATTTAGCAACTCAATATGAATAACTCATCTGCTGTGTGAGTCATATTCATTGCCCACCACAAAGCAGTACCTACTAGGGGTGCGGTTTTGCATCATGAGAAGTGCTGTGCTTATTGTGGAAGGTATTAGCAATAGCACATACAGTTATATACTGCCTCATTGTGCTTTACAGCACTCTGTGGGTGATTTATAATGTCTGCATATTGCCCTCAACAATCTGGGCCCTCATTTTACTGAAGGATGGAGGGCTGAATCAACTGAGCTCCATCAGGATCGATCTCAAAGTTTGCCTGCAATACTACATTCCAACTACTGTGCCACCAGGGCTCTTCATTCTTTTATTTTCACCCCATTGAAATCAGTACATGCTGAAGGAAAGGTAAGAAGACAGGGCCCACTCCTACTGGACCAGGATAAAATAAACATAAGGACTTCAGCTTATTGCTACGCTATTCAAAACACTTTCTTGCTGCATCCATGATTTGGGTAGGTCCTGCTTGGCTAGCAAAATTGCTGGGTGAGAAGATAAAGCAGTTGGTGTAATCAGATGGAGAAAGTAGCAGAATCCATCATCCTCCAACATACAGAATAGCTAGCTGGTCATTCAAAAGTAGCATCTGGTGTTTTTTAACCACTCTTGCTGCCAAATGACTGCTTCAAATTGTGGAGGGATCTTGCTGTTTGAGAGCCAATCACTTTTTGCTAGTAATATGGGCTCTGTAGTAGTAATTCTGTAGTAATGTCAGAGATAAACAAAACAGGTGTTTTAGTGCTGCCAAGATGGAAAGTTGTCCCCTCTTCCCCCAATGTTGCAGTGATTGCAAACAGCGCAGAACTGGTCTTTTAAGCACAACTTAAGAGTTTTCCAGTAATGGGAGGTCTGCTCAGTTCCCAATACCACCACATTACATTGTCTCAGTTACAGAAAGAATCTTCTTCATCTTCACCCTGACTTTTGCCCTCAACTCTAGGGTTTCTAATGGAGCAAATAGACTGACTTCAGGTAAGTCCTCGCTTATCAATTGTGTCACACAGCAACCATTCAAAGTGATGACAGTTCTAGAAAAAAAAAAACTTTGTGATCAATCCTCATAATTACAATTTTTGAAGTCCAGCAGACACATAATCACCAATCGTGTGCTTCACAACCAGCTTGTGACAAGCAGAATTAATACAGAAGGTAGAATTAAAATAATAAATGAAAATCATGATTTTTGTTGCTTAGTAACCACTTAAAGTGGTATTGTTTAAAGACTAAAGGGGAAGTAAGGTCATAAGCCTAGTTGCCATCCATATGATTTTCTGTTTAGCGATTGTATTCCGTGGCAGAGATGCTAATCTCAATTGTGGTTACTAAGTAGGACTATCTGTATCCGAAACATAAACACCACTATCTCCTTTACTTGTGTGAGTGAAGAATTCTGCTGGTCCCTTCCTCAGCCTTACCCACTGCACCATCAGTTGATAGAATTGTTTCCTCAAAACTCAAGAGACCTCAAGTTTGTTGTGGAGCTAATATGAACTTTATCCCTAAATTTGAAACATATTTACAATTCCAAATAGGCTTCTTTGCCCACCCAAAAATGCAAATCACCAAGTAATTCAGGCAAAGCAAAAGGATTTATTAAGGAGGATCAAGTCTTTGCAGGAATTAGGTAAGGGTAGACTAGAGGAAAAAAAGGACTAGGACATGATAGCAGTATTCCAGCATTTGAGGGGCTGCCATAAAGAAGAGGAAGGTTAGCTTATTTTCCAAAGCACCAAAAGGCAAGACAAACAACTGATGGAAACTAATTAAGGAGAAAAGCAACCTGGAATTAAGGAGAAACTTTCTAACAGAGAACAATTAATCAGAGGAATGGCTTGCCTTCAGAAGTTGTGGGTGCTCCATCACTGAAGGCTTTTAAGAAGAGATTGCGCAGCCACTTCTCTGAAATGGTATAGGGTCTCCTGCTTGAGTAGGGGGTTGGACTAGAAGACCTCCACAGTCCCTTCCAGCTCTATTCTGATTATTATTATGATTATTAAAACAAATGATATATACATTTTTCTATGTAATAGGTCAAAAGGCAAGTGATCAAAGAACAAAAGACATTGATTACATGTCAGAACACTAGAAAACATTATTCTACATAGCATTCCATAAGTGGCATATTTATGGGTTATATTTCTCTTTGCCAGCTGGGATTGTTATCTTTCTTAAAACTTAAAATTGTATTTATACACTCTCTATTGTTTAGTGATGAAAAAACAAGTTCTCACATGCTGAAAGAAATAGCCTGGACTAAGAAAAAAAAATCCTTGGAAATTAAAAAAAAAAGGGGGGGGGCGCTAGACTAAAAATGCCAATATCACCTTCTAAATTGCTAAAAATGAAGCCTAAAATTCTAGGTAACCTATCACTTTTCCCTGAGGAAGAGGAGGAATAGTACTAAATAATATTAAAACTATTTCTTACAACATGATTTTATCACTCTGCCCCTCCCCCTTTGTGTAGGAAACCTTGGCTAGGCCCTCCCACTTTATAATTCTCTAATTGGCTTTACTCCCTCAGCTATGGCTTATTCCATTGTTTTATTTTTATTTATTTTTTTACTTAAGGGAAGTCCTAAACTAAAGGTGGGGAGAAGCTTTAAAGGCAAAACAGATCCCTTTTTAAAACAGAAGAAGATTCCTATTTAGAATGTGTATGTGTACTATATCTACCAAGCAGCAGTAAACATTCAAATATAACGAAGAATTAGTTCTCCAAAATATAGGATAATCAGTCTTTCTCAATATTCTTTGCTCAAATGACATCCCCACCCCCACTTGCTTGGCAGAGATCATTTCATATGTTTGTACACTAATGTGTGGGTCTCAGAAAATCCCATGTGGGTTTTGTTGTATAATGAATTAGGTTAGGAATTTCAAGTCTGTTCACCATTGTCCTTTCCTTTGACAAATTCTGAAGAACATTTGTCTTGGGTAAGCATATTGCTTAATACTTTATAATGCAGGTTTCTAATAAACACAGAAGTCTTGTGGACTTTGGAGTATGAATAAGTAAATAATCTGTTTTGTGGATCCAGAGCTGAAAAACCTCCCCAAGGACAGTTATTGGTGTCAGTGATAAAAAGCCCCAACTGAACGGTGTCGATGTTGACAATCTGAAATACCAACATGCACTGTTTTGGCTATATAATTTTTGTCCTATTATGGACAAATTGTATTCTTCAGAAGGGTAAGTTATTCAAGGAGAAGTAAAAGTTGTCCTTTTTTTTTGCAGGACAAATAGAGTTTTATTAGTACTTTTTAGGAAAACTAGAGAAAAATATCAATTATTTTAAATTAAGTCTTATAAAACAAGAACATGTCATGAGAAAATTGTGATTTATCATATTTGTATTTAAATCAGATAATAGGATTGTTCTTTATATTGCAGCTCATGTTCATTGGCTAAGTAAGTGTGGTTAGATGTTCAATCATGTCTATTCAGCTTATGTACTGAAATGTAATAACATAATAGTACTTGATATCCCTTTCTGAATTTTGCAATAGTTACAGAATTCACAGGAACTTCTACATTAAGGATGGATGTGTACATCTGTTGTGGCCCCTAAAGTCACCTTTATCTTATTTTAAAATTTGGAATTCTGTATTCCACTTCAAGAGATGCAATAATTGCCTGTGACAAATATGTGTGGGTTTATCATTAAATTATTCGTAAACAATGAGGTTAGGTGGAAATGAAATACAGATGGTATATTATGTTGTAAGTAACAGAAAGACTTAGTTGAAGATTCTTATCAGTTCTCATCAATAATCATCCACTGATTTTTATTAATCAATTATTAATAATTCAGTTGTTAGTACAATTGAGAAAGTCATTTTAGTTAACAGATTTTGAAAGACCAACATATTATTTGTTATATAATTTCTTGGACTTGTATATAGTTGTTGACAGGGGAAACTGGTTGCAAAATTTTTCATGTGCCAAAATTATTTGGCTAGGTTTCAGCACTAGTTTTGTACTTTGACAAGGCAAACACACATATTATACTCTAACCTCCAGTTACAAAACCGTGCATTTGAAGAAGTCGGTAAAGTTTGCAAAAATGTATGGCAAAATAACTTTTGCTAGGCATTAAGAAGCTTCAAGTAGTCACCAATATTTTTCTATTGTTTCCCAGTTGAACACATTACAATGGAATTGTTATTCTTATAACAGCTATCCACTGAGGAATATTAATAGCATCCATGATTGAGGGCTGCACTTAATATTTTCTCTGAAGACAAGTGACACAGTTGGTGGGACAATAATGCACTTGTGAAGTGCTATGTCACACATGTGGTCAAGGGCCAGGATCTTTTTGTGTGTATGTGTAGGGAGTGGTTTGTTTTTTCTTTTCCTATTCGGTTTTTGAATAATTGTTTCAGTATGTATAGGAAAACCAGATATTGCTTTTGACCATAATGTTGGGCTGTGGTGTGCAGCTTTGGAGCTAGCTAACAGATTGACATTTCCCGTGGGGTTCCTTGTTTGATCCCTACCACAACACTTGTTGTGTACAAGTATGAAGTCATTGTAAAAGTGCTGGGGAAAAGTCTGAACAATAAGGCAGCTTTCATGGTCATGGTCAAATATACTTCATATCTTAAGAACAGTAGGCAGGCAAGTGTGTAACTATAATGGTATGTGAGAAAGGCCTTGGGAGGCTGGACAAAAAGATCACGCAAAGGGAATAGTCAGGGAAGAGACAGATTAGCCCACAGCTAGATAGTACAAGAGGCAAGAGGTCCAGAAAAGATCCTCCCTAGTTTCTCTGGCTGTAAAAGAGACAGGTGTGGATGGTGTGGAGAAGGTTTATATTTTCATACAGGTAGTCCTTGACTAACAACCATTTGTTTAGTGACTGTTCTATGGTACTACAGCACTGAAAAAGTGATTTACGTCTGGTCCTTGCACTTAGGACTATTGCAGCATCCCTATGGCTGCGTGATCAAAATTCAGGCACTTTGCAACTGGCATGTATTTATGATGGCTGTAGCATCCCAGGATCATGTGATTGCCATTTGTGATCTTTCCAGCAGCCCTCTTAGGATAAGCAAACTCAGTGTGGGAAGGCTGGTTCACTTAACAACCACATGACTATTTAACACCTGCAATGATTCACCTAGCAACCATGGAAAAAAGATCATAAAATTGGATGCATCTCACAACAATGACCTTGCTCAGCAATGGAAATTCTGGTCCCAATTGTGGTCATAAATTAAGGACTACCTGTACTTACAAGTTTATGCCAATGTAGCCAATTACAATAAAGTAAATTCAGCTGATCTGGTTGTTTTTTCTAACTGATTTATCCTGTAGTGCCAACATCAATCTTGCAATCTCCCTTTCTCTTATCTGACCATTCCCTTGGCTGTGTTTCTGCCTAATCTCCCAAAGCCTTTCCAACACACCATTACAGCTGCTGATTCAACATTTACCAGCTCTGAATCATGCTAAATGAAAAAGCTCCATTACTATTCCTGACTTACAATCTTCTCCTTTCCAAAACAATTAGAGGGGAAAAAAACTACACTATAAAAAAAAAAGGCAAGTGGTTTCACAGAAAGAATGCTTAACCAATATTGAAAGGGTTCCAGACCTTGAAATGAATGAAACTTAAGTTTTACATAATAATTATATTCATTGATTTCAATGTAGGTGCAAAATAGTCCAACTGAAAAAAAAAATGAGAAGGAGGGAATCAGTTACTATGAATTGATGTTTCTTTGTGATACATAGAAGGATTTACAAATGGTTCTATAAATGAGAATGCGAAGTAGCCATTGCATCTACATTTTGCAAAAAGTGAATTACTTACAGGCAAGAATTTTTACTCCCAAAGAAATGGCAGAGCTTATTAGTGCAGAAAAAGATCATTAACTTATTCCATTAATAGAAATTAAGTTCTTCTCTCTGCAAAACTTAATACAATTGAAATTTACTACCTCCTTTTTGCAATCCGCATTGCTCTTTCAGTATCCCAGCAGATGCAAGTTCCATATGATGACTTGGTCAATCTACTTACTGAGCCAGGTAAGATAAAAACTCTGTAATATATTAAAAATGAATTTTGAGAAGGGCATTAAACCTTATGTGAGATAGATCTGTGTATGCTTTTTTAAAAAAATGAACAAGTAAACAATAAAATATTTCAAACTCAGTCATCTCAAACTCAGATTATCATGCATACATACACATACTGTATATCATGGACAAATTTATATATAAATATACATACTAACTCAAGATGGCAAACATATCCGATACTCTTTCCTCCTATGAGATGTGTTGGCCTAAGAAAGAATAACTGGCACAAAGCATTCAGTTGTCATTCATGCCTAAGGCAGGCCTAGAACTCTCAGGCTCCTGTTTTCTAGGCTATCATTGTAACTACTAAACCAAACTTGATTTCCATTGAATGTTTACTGGTGGACTTTACAGTAGAATCCCAATTATTGAAAGAATTCCACTAAATTTGAATCCAGCCCAATGTGATACATATTTTCAATATGTGAGAAGCATATTTTTAAAGTACATATTACAATATTATTGTTTCATGCTAATAAAATATCAATGGGCTACGAGTATTGTGGATTTCTTAGGATCATACATCTTCGAAAGTGTGATATTTTATCTTTATCTAGGAACTCTTGATAACATCAACTTTGTATATTGTCAAGAAAAATAGTCTTGTTATATCTTATGAAAATATCCTAACTCTTCAATGTTTCAATTTTCACAAGTGTAATTAATTATGTTAATTTAATATTATTAATTAGTTACAATTTTTTAAAAAATACTTTTTTAATTTTTATTTTTTAAAGTAAAAATTACTTAAAACAATAAAATAAATCTTGATTTTAGGAAAAAATATGCAGAGGCAAATGTATATTATACCTGGCAATATTAATTCAAAAAAGATGTACATTTACACATACACCCAACGAATTGCATGTTTTCTGTAGCACATCTATTTTAATTCTCAAGCAGATATGTTTCTAGCCTATAATCTGTGACCTTGTTAACCCAAGATTCCAGGAACAGAAACTAATTCTGTAACTAAGCTATGGTTCCTCATCAGAAAAATATATCCTAATATCATACAGAATTAATAACAGAGATGGACAAAAAATGGGGAATGGTAGATAGGAATTGTAACTTATTACTTAACCTTCCAAAGTTAAATGCTGGGTAAAGTGGGAGATCAGAAGTATTAGAAATGGAGAGCTTCTGGAAAGATTCACTTTTTGAGATATGATAGATTATTGTATCCTTTGGAGTATTTTTAAACCAAAAACTGGAAGCATTTTGAGACATAATGGCACAGAAGAAACTGCTTGCAATATAAAGAGGAAATCAATCTACTTCATGACCAGCCTGGATTGGAACTAATTTATTAAGATTGATTTTAATAACAAGAATTTTTGCTCATTGTTTTATGACTTTGTGGAAATTTTCTTATGGTTATTAGAATTTATCACTGTTTATAATGAAATAAAATATATTTTTGTCTAATAATGATGATTAGGATATTACTTGGCTGTGCTCTCTCATAATAATTGAACAGGAGCAATAACAGTCACTGAATATAATATAGAATCCAATGATAAATAGCAGAAAGTCTTTTGAAATTGGCTTTCAGAGTAAAAAACAATCATTCTGTTTATTCCATGCTTTTATATAGTACAATTATACCCAGGGCTGACTTGTTAGTCAGTCTACTATACCCATTTATTAAATATTTTAATTGTAGAGATTCCAGCAAGTTGTGGTCCTCCACCTGCTATTGGTAACGCAATGCTTCTAAACAACAGAAGACAGGAATTCTTATCAGGTGAAACTGTGATATATCAGTGCTACAGGCTGTACGAAATGGAGGGCACTCCAATTGCAAAGTGTGAGAATGGCCATTGGAGAGGTGTTCCGAGATGTGTTCGTAAGTATACAGTTTAAAACTGAGAAATCCTATAGTGTTGGCAAAATATCCTTCTAAGAAAAACACTAATCACACCCCCAAAAAAGCATAAAAATGGCTATTTTCTCTGATATTTTTGCTTCCCTGCAAAGGGTGTTTTAGATAGGGATTTTTCTATAGCGGCACCAATACCTTAGAATTCTCTTCCCCACTCCGTATAGTCAGCCTCATTTTTATTGTCCTTAAGACATATTTTTATATTTTAGTGTACTTTATATTTTAAAACATATTTTTATATTTCTCCCATAATTGTCATGCCCATTTTGCTATCACATCTTAATATGCCATATATTCTTCATGCATTTTCTATTTTTTTAAATAATATTATGAGTACTAGATTTTGATGCTTGCAATGCTTTTAAATAATTTGGGATATATTTTATTATTTGTTTTTAATTTTCCGGATGGATCTAGTATTTATTTTTGGATTTTATTTGTCAATAGCTGCAGGATCGCTTACTCGGAGCATGCATTGTATGTATACACACACACACGTATACAAATGTGCAAATAAATAATTACAAGTTCCAAATTGGGACATAGTTACAATAATTGTCATTCTGTAGTATAAATGGATATATTTATTTATTTGCAGCAGGGTAGTTAGGAATTTTTGCTCAATAGTTAAGTTTTTTTAGAAGATCAGAGTCTAAGACCATTATAATCAGTATCCAAAATCTAAGACTCTCATGGTATAGCATTTCTATTAGTCTGATGAAATTAACATGTTTGATATGATTATTACCCCTTCAATTTATCTATGTTATACTTAAAAGTTCACTGTGCATTATTTAACATAAGACCTAAATAAAAAAATTAACTTTATTAATTATTCTGTTCTAATTATTCGGCACTATTTTTAGTGTGCTATATCAATTTAATATATAAGTACATTTATTTATTCTTCAGAAACTTGTAGAGCTGATGATGTTGATATGGACCGCAACAATATTCAACTGAGGTGGATTACCAAGTCAACCTCTATGAGATCGTCTGATTATTGGATGGAGTTTGTGTGTAAACCAGGATTCCATAAGCATCCATTATCATCACCATTTATGAAACAATGTGTAAAGGGACGATGGGTGTATCCCAGATGTGTATAATAGAGTTAACTATTTTTTAATTCGCCTATTAAAAATCCACACATATTCACATAACTTTTTCCTTGCATGTTGGCGTATAATTGCCTGTCTTTAAGGTACTTTTAAAAATCAGAAAGAAAGAATGAAGGGGCAAATTGTGTTGATTCTTATCCTGTCTGCTGACATCTCCTGTAATTGGTGATTATTTGTGAGCTCTTTGGTCTTTAGAATCCTCAGAAGTGAAACTTACCATATTTTTCGGAGTATAAGACACACCGGAGTATAAGACGCACCTACCTTTTTTGGTGAGGAAAAGAAGAAAAATAAATCTCCCTCTGCCTCTGAGCAATTTTGCCTCGTTGGACCAAACAGTAAACAGCCTGCTCTACTTTCATTTTCTTTTTCAGCATAGCTTGATTAGCACAAGGGAAAAAAATCTGCTCCAGCAATTTACCTCTTTGCAACAAGCAGCAGAGCCCTGCGCAAAACAGCTCAGAGCAAATCAGCTGAGAGTCGGGAGGCCGATCCAATCAACATGTGCTTATTAGGCTGTGCTGAAGCTGAAAGTAGCTGTTTTTTCTTGCTGTTTGCTTGCAAGGAGGTAACTGCTGCGAGGCAGAGACCAAAGGGTGGGGGCCAGTGGGTGGGCGGGGCTACATTCGGTGTATAAGATGCACCTAAAGTTTCACCCCCTTTTAGGGGGAAAAAGGTCTTATACTCCGAAAAATACAGTAAGTGATATGTTTTCATCTGTTCAGAAGAACAAATACTAATCAGGTTTCCTATTTAATCATAATTTCCACCCCTTCTTGATTTACATTGTGTGCCATCTCAAAATCCCATCTGAAGGAGGGATTACAATACATTACTCTGCCAATCCACCTTTCAACTGTAGACCATTGTAAGAATCCTAGTACCTAGAACTGCTGTTTCAAACTGGCATTTCAGGTTGTCATAGCAAACTCACAGGAACCAGGATATTTTAAAGGGAAACACAATGATATTCAACATCTGCAGCGCAGAAACTGCTAATTGAGCATCACTGTGTTTCCTTGAAAATTTAAAATATTCCACAGCGCTCCTATGTGAATTCATTGTTTCTATTAAACTCATAGTTCCCAAACTGTGTGCCATGATGCCGCAAGGTATCAAAGCCAGTTCATGAATTGAGGGGCATTGTGAAAAACCTACTGAGATACTATGGGCACCATGAACCAAGAATGTTTGGGACTTACACACTTTTCCAAAGATTGATTTAGTCCTGCCAGCTTATCAATATCATCTGTAGTGGCCTCCCATTAGTTTAATGGGGCTATGTGTTACAGCACTGCTATATAAACTATCCTTTCAGCATTCTGGCCTGTGGTTTCTATTTTAAAAATGTGCATGTGACAGATAACTTGTGTAATTATTTTTTCAGCCATTAATTAAAAACAAGGCCTTTAGTTGTAAAACAAAGAATGTTAAATTAATTGCTTTAAAACTTTTAGGAGTTTACTAGGATAGCAACTGACAGAGCAGGTCATATTGTACTGAAAAGAATTCTAAGGCTACCAGGTGGTAATTAAAGAAGCTACAATTCATCAAGAAAATGTGAGGATGACTGTGTTTGCCATAATCTGTTTAATTCAAATTATATACAATACATAGAACATCGCATGAGTTTTTATCCTTGTTAAAAACTCTCATTTTTAGAAAGCTGGGATTTGTATAAAGGGAAGTATGTTTAAAAGCATCCTGTATATTGTTATTCTAATTACATACTGCTTAAGTTGTTCTAACATGTTAATGTTAAAGAAGATATAAGGAAGAAGCAAACCTTCTGGGATGAAATAATGTAAGCCATAAATTTGTCACTTGTGGAAAGTTAGGTAGAATCAATATTCTTTATTGTTTGAATCTCACATATTATCAATGTCTTTTATTCTTTGATCACTTGATTCCTGATGTATCACATATATTTTGTATGTATCATTTGTTTCTGTATTGTACAAAAAACCACCCCTTGAATAAAGACTGCTTACTTTGCCTGAATTACTTGGTGATTCATATTTTCGGGAGGGCAAAGAAGACCCATTACAAAGGTAAAAGTCCCTCACTCATATTCAGGGATCCAGTTCTTATCAATGCCATGTCAAACTTGCGATGTCTGAGTTTTGAGGAAAGTTAGATAAAATCAATATTTTAAAAATGCTACTACTTATAACTGCAACCAGTATCGGTCGCCATAACAGATTATGAAATTTGGAAATGCCTCACCTAGTTTTTCAACAGTTGTGCTTTGCACATGTGGAGGCAGCCAATGAGCATCTTCTGAGAAGATTGTCAGTTATTTACTAAAGTAGTTGCTTAGCAACCAGATGGAAATGGGAGGGGGGGAAGAATTCTTCAAAATAGAATAACGGTTATTTATTCCCTTGCAGTAATAAAGTAAAAAGTAAAACCCACTGAGGGGATAAAAAGGAACTGTTTCTGACAACCAGGATAGACGCAAAGTGAATTATCTTCTCTTCATCTTCAAGCTCCAGAATAGACTCCAACAGTATGAATCATATTTTAAGGATACCAGGAGTGGGAAAAGGCAAAAAGCTGCACATATGACATCACATTTCATCCTTCATTTTCTCCATTTCAGTTGTAGTCAGAGCAAAGTGGACCAGCAAAAAAAAAGTGGATTGAAGAAGGGCATTTTATTATGCAATCACTTGTCTCATTCATGGAATTGTTACCCTTAGTAGATTCTCATTTTTTTTCATGCCATTTTTCTTTTCCCTATCCCACAGAAAATCTGTTAGATAGGAAGGAAAGAGTAAGTGAATGTCTTCAGATTAATTGCACTGGAAGCCCTCCATGTGGAAGCATCCAACATTTGGTAGCTTCCCATGAGTGGATGATTTGTAAAATATATACAAAAAGTAAAAAAATATATAACCATTTAATTAGTAAACAAGATAATCATGTCCCAAGCAATTTTTAAATTATGAAACAGGCAGGAAAACAAAATCTGCCATGCTATCTGTAATAAACAAACACCAAACCATTAGTGTGCTGGTAAAGATAACACATTGCTGTGCTGTGCTAAGTCACTAGATGACTAACAGTTGTTCAATGCACTAAGCATTGTTTTTAACCTGCTCACAAAGTTATGAAACCAAATAATTAGCTCTTGCCAGTCAGGGCAAGCCAACTCTAGGACACCACTGCCCCAAATTCATAAGTCATTGGTAATATCTGTGGGAAGAAGGGGAAAACAATGTTAAAGTGATTGTGAGATATGTTTGTACCAGATTATAATGTGTGATGACCGGGAACCTCTAGTTTTGCAGTCTTAACTCTAGGTTGCAAAGGTTTTCCTAAAGCTGATTGGCAGAAGAATCAAGAAAGTGTTTCTACCTCAGTAAAGAAAAAGTAGCAGTAATTTTCAAATCGGCAAAGCAAAAGAAAATATTTCTTTCTCCTGGAAGAAATAGTATCTATACGGTTAAATATAAGAACCCGTCAGTCTTCTGAACATTCTGATGTGGTGCCATCACAATGATATGATGAAAAATGCTTTGTCTTCTTTCAGAAAATTGCAGTCTCATTACATTTTATCCTTTTTGTACAGACTGAAGGGTTCAGTTGATTCAAAGTATAGAATTAAATTAATTTAGAAATACTCAAGAAATGCTTCTAAAGCAGGACAAATAATATTAGAACTCCTCAATAGATTGTTTTATTTAAAATAGAAATGAATACATTTCCTAGGTGGTAAAAGCGCTGAGAAAGAATGAGGATTTGAGAAGATTCTAGCTTTTAACTACAGTGAAAGTTTTAGCAGGATCCTTTTCAGGGAAAGGCATTGAATTAATATTTCCTAAACATTTCAGTAGTCACTACCCCTTTCCCCATGCAGATTTCAGAATTGAGATTTGGATACAGGCTCTTTGTTGAATTTGGCAGTCTGCCTTTTGTTAGAAGGTAATCCGGTTGCTTTTTAAAACACAGATCCAAGATCCATAACTGAATCTTGTGATGTTTAAATCAATTTTTTTCTTGCTTCTGTCTTCATGATCTTTTACTGAATTGGCTATTTTTAAATATATTCTTTGCCAAACAGTTTCATATAGGATTCTATTATTCAAAAAGTCTGCTTGTGTTAATCCTTATTACTGAAAATGTAAATCAGAACTAATATATCAATTTAGCAGATAATTTTAAGTGGATTTTACAGCTGAAATAAATTCTACTTATGTTACAGTATATAAAATAAGGGGACTTTATGTACTAAACAGTAAAACATACACACAGGGAAACAATTGGTGAAGTAAAAGGAGAAGAAGAATATTTAAGATATTATTTGTTGGAAAAATTAGAACAAATAGAAGATCTCATTCTGAAAATAATTATTAAATTACTATAAGCCTAATGATGGATTGGCTGCTGTGCGTTGTATCATTTCTTCTAGAAATATGTACTTCTGACCATGGTGAGTTCTCAATATTTTTAATATGGACATAGCTATATGAAAATATAACTTTTTCATATATATATGACAAAAAGTATTCTATGAATTATTTCAGAATTGTAGAACAAATTCCTATAAGAATTAGATTTGCAGGGGAAAAAAAATCAGTTTTGCATTTTTAAAATTTAAAATTGTAAAATTCTGGCAGCTATATTATTAATTTTCCAGTTACTGTAGAACAGTGGCTTAGTACACAGTTAGATGTTTATGAAGTTGTTCAGCAGAATATTATACTTCTTAGAATGCTGTGACATGCCATTTACATTTGGTGTTACTATACATAGAAATGTATTCTTCATAAGCATATAATATATTGGCAATCCCATGCTAATGGTTACAATAACAACTGCATTCTTTATCAAAAACAAAACATATTTATCTGTTTATTTATTTATATCGTATCTTTATTAGTTTAATCAGTACTAAAAGCAATACCATTCTCCCAGAGTGGTCAATATTAGAAACACTGGAATGCAGTGAGCTAACAGGGTCATTATTTAGATGCTACTTTAAAAAGGTGGCTATTCTGAGGAAAAAATGATAGCACAGGAATATGAATGAACTTTAGGAGAAGGAATAATATGTAAAATTGGAATCTAACTTAAGAAAATCATGCTGCATTTGTTGTGCTGCCAAGAAAAAAAAAACAATAAATACAATTGTCTGCATGCTGCTAACTGTAACTTCAGTCTGCAGCCCACCTGAAATTGATTTTGGAAAGACTGAAATGAATAAACAAAAGGAATATCTGGAAAATGACAGAATACAGTATAAGTGCCACCCTGGATATGATCTGGAAGGGTCTGACTGGATAACATGTAAAGCAGAAGGTTGGATACCTCCACCAAAGTGTTTTGGTAAGTGGGCTATGTGATGAAATGATTGCTTCAATGTAGCTTGAGACAGTGGTGAAATTCACATTTTTTTACTACCGGTTCTGTGGGCGTGGCTTGGTGGGCATGGTGTGGCTTGATGGATGTGGCAGAGGAAGGATACTGCAAAATCCCCATTCCTACCCCACTCTGGGGCCAGCCAGAGGTGGTATTTGCCAGTTCTCCGAACTACTCAAAATTTCCACTACCGGATCTCCAGAACCTTTCAGAATCTGCTGAATTTCACCCTGGCTTGAGAGTAATGTAAGTAGAGGAATAATTGAACAGTCCTCTATAAAGAAGGTGGGAAAGTTTTTAGCAAAAGTGAAAGAGAGAGAGCTACCAGTTGGACATACAGGTAGATCACAATTGGTAGGAGTTCAAATAATGTGAATTATAAATTGATATCAGACTGCATAGTTAAAATTCAGTTAATGCAAGGCTAGCATGCACACAATTGAGACTAGCACATTGGCAGTTGAGGCTAATACATATGGAGAGCTGCTGAATTTTAGATGCTAACCATTGTATATACAAAATAGAGAAAAGAAAGATTCTGTTCAAGGAAAGCTCAAAAATAAGAGGTTCATTTGAAGAACTACAGCAGAATACTGGAGACAGCAGGTACACTTTGGATATAGGTTTTTTTATGGTTATACAATATTTCATAACTTTGTAATATTTATGCTTTGAAATTTTAATTGTCTATTTTCATTGAGCCTATTTTCAATTACCCTATTCTTATAATAGGACCACTTTGTGGGAATCATTTTCCATACTACATGAAACCTACCTGTCATAAAGAAAAGCAGATAATTAGCATAAATAAATAATGAATGAATGAAAACAGAGGCACTGCTGGCCATTCTTACATACTATAACTTTTAAGTACATACATAAATTTATAATTAGGTAAAAAAATATAATTAAAATAAAGGAATATCAGCTTCCAACCCAAAGGCAATCTATATTTTTTTCTCACTTTCTTTTAGCACCCTGTATTCTCACAAAACAGCAGCTGGGTGACAGAAATCTTCTTTTGAATGGTGGACAACGACATTCAGAATGGATAAGAAATGGGCATACAATAGAATTTACATGCAGGAAAGGATATTTCATTGTATCTCCTTCTATCAGAAAGTGTGTTGATGGGAATTTAACTTTACCTTCCTGTAATCCTTCTGGTAAATGTACTGTTATTGTGAATCAATTTCATTTGGCTTTTTTTTAACCTTAACAAATTAATCACTATTTTTTTTTCTTTTTCGTGTCTTTCATTTCCCTGGATTGTTGTTTTCTTTCTATTTCGATTATATATTTGGACCACCACATACCTACATATGACCTAGGGTTATTCATATCCTATTTAAAAATGTTTCCCGTTTGCCATATCTTGACCTATTTGTTTCTCAGATGCCTCACTGTTATCAGAACCAATCCTGCTTTTTATGTTCTTCTCCCATTTCACTTTATATTACTGGGTCTGATCTATATATTCTTTTTTTACAATTAAAGGTCCTGACCTAAACCTAGATTAATTAAACACATCAAAGCTCTAACAGATGTGTATGGCATTCGAGAATTATTTGGTGTGTTTTCATAGCAGCTGCAGAGACTTTACTACTTTGAGAGTTATATACAGGTAGTCCTCAACTTACATCCATAATTGAGCCCAAAATTTATTTGGCTAAGTGAGAAATTTGTTAAGTGAGTTTTGCCCCATTTTAAGATCTTTCTTCCCACAGCTGTTAAGTGAATCATTGCAGTTGTTAAGTTAATAACTCAGTTGTTAAGTGAATCTGGCTTCCCCATTGATTTTGCTTGTCAGAAGGTCACAAAAGGGGATCACAACCATCCTAATTATGAATTGGTTAGCAAGCATCCAATTTTGATCATATGACCATGGAGATGCTGCAACGGTTATGTGAAAAATGATCATAAGTCATCTTTTTCATTGCCGTTGTAACTTCAAACAGTTATTAAGTGAACTGTTGTAAGTCGAGGACTACCTGTAATGATTTGCTTCTAAAAGGAGCAGAATGATATAAAAGTTATCCAAGATTTTCAGAAGTAACAGGATAATATATTTTTATATAATATATTTTCCACATAGATAAGGAATAGTGTAATGAAAATGATTTGTTGTTTAGATTTTCTTGAGTTCACATGATAACTGGTTTTATCGAGGAGAATTTTGGGCCATTTACCTTTTAGAAACACAATAGAAGAACACAATATCTGGTCCTGAACAACACTTTATAAAATTAGGATCTGCTGTTTTCAAAAATCTGTCATAACAAGGTTAACTTTCTATTTCATAGAAGGGCAATTGTGATTTCTAAACACAAACTTAGTTTAAATCAAGGTGGAGAAAATGAAATTATTTTTCAATGAAATTATTTTTTACTATAATCAGGGGAATTATAAATTTTAAACTGTGGCTACAATTCCAAGCTAGAACTTGGTGCATGAGAAAGAAATAAGATACCAACATTCATTAATAATCAATGGAAAGAACCTGCGTAATGATTTATGTGTTATGTATTGTGTCCTTCTAATGGTGCAGAGACTTCTATTGCTGCTTCTACCACTTCCAGGAGACTGTTACCACTAGTTTTGAATTCCTATTCATCAGGTATTAAAATAGTATGATGCCAATAAAACATTTTGAGAGTATTTTTTTTAGGAAAACTAAAAGTGGTATTCAGTAAAGATATAGTTTCCTGGCATCAGTTCTACTCAAATACATACATAGATATTTGAACATGCTGAAAATAATAACCACAATCTTATTCAGGTTAACTGACTACATTTGCTGAATTCTTTGCTTTTAACTAATTGTTGGGGGACCTTTACCATTTTACATATGCCAGTTTAAGCAACATAACTGTAATAACAATTTGGAAAGCAAATTGCAAAGACATTAAATGAGGAACTGCATTATTATCTTTCAACAATGTTTTTGTGAGCAAAATCACTTGTTCAGTTTGTTTTATATCCTCCGAGAGGGGGAAAAACATATATTTTATTACCTTGGTCCAAAAATAAGCCAGGGAAGCAGCCCAAGAAAGCAGCAGGGCAAAAATTTAATTACCTTTCTAGATGTTGTTTTCCAATTACATGTAGCTGCATTGGAACCACAGATTGTCCTCATAATTTTGTCAGAGCATAGGTATCATATAGGATACCAGCAACTATAGAATGTTGATAGAAAATAGAGGAACATAATAACTTCATAACAATATTTCTATTTTTCAATACAAGTCATTTGCACTGCTCCACAAATAGAAAATGGTAGCTTTTTTCCTCTGTGGACTCGTTACAACATTGAAGACATAATCTATACAACATGTAAACCAGGATATATGCTTGAAAGTCATAAAAATTCCTCTAAATGCACCAAAGATGGCTGGTCGCCATATCCAAAATGTGTCAGTAAGTAGTTTTCACAATACTGCGGCTGTGCATATTTTTTTAATTCAATGCCAAATCTTAAAGGACTGATAATATATTCAATTGTACACACCTATATTTCTGCAGTACTCAAAGTTAGTCTTTTACTGTTATTTTCATTTAATTATGGATAAAATAGAAATGACATGCTATTCCATATGGCAGTGTTTCTCAATCATGGCAACTTTAAGGCATGTGGACTTCAACTCCACATTGGCCCTGGAGGATACAGACTGCCTGGATCCATACCAATAGGGTTTCAGGCCGGGGTACAGCACGGAGATGGCATTGGTCGCACTGGTGGATGATCTTTGCAGAGCTCGGGACAGGGGATATTCCTCTGTTCTGGTCCTCTTGGATCTTTCGGCGGCGTTTGATACCATCAACCATGGTATCTTGCTGTGACGGCTCGAGGGGTTGGGAGTGGGAGGCACCGTTCTACGGTGGTTCTCCTATCGCTCGGGCTGTACGCAAGCGGTGTTGGCAGGGAGGCAGAGGTCGGCTATGAGGCCCCTCACTTGTGGGGTGCCCCAGGGGTCAGTCCTCTCGCCTCTCCTGTTCAACATCTATATGAAGCCACTTGGGAAGATCATCCGTGGTTTTGGGGTGCGGTATCATCAGTACCCTGATGATACCCAGCTTTTTATATCCATTCCAAACCAGCCCAGTGATGCCCTCGACGTGATGTCCTGTTGCCTGGAAGTGGTATGGACCTGGATGGGGAGGAACAGGCTTCGACTCACCCCTGCCAAGACCGAGTGGCTGTGGGTACTGGCATCTTGTTCCGATCGAGATGTTCCATCGTTGACCATCAGGGGTGAGGTGTTACCCCCTGTGGATAGGGCTCGCAACTTGGGGGTCCTCCTGGATTCACAGTTGTCTCTGGAAGACCATGTGACGACCGTGACCAGGGGGGCATTTGCCCAGGTTCGCCTTGTGCGACAGTTGCACCAAGATGCCCTACGCACCGTTACTCATGCGCTGGTCACCTCCTGTCTTGACTACTGCAATGCTCTCTACCTAGGTCTGCCCTTGAAAACCACTTGAAGGCTTCAGCTGGTGCAGAATGCGGCCGCGCAGGTTGTGATGGGAGCGTCCCGACACTCCCATGTTACACCCCTCTTGTGCAGCTTGCATTGGTTACCAGTTGCCCTTCAGGTGAGGTTCAAGGTGCTGGTTATCACCTATAAAGCCCTTCATGGCCTAGACCCGGGATATCTGTCAGACCCCCTGCAGCCAGTGACAATCCCCAATCGCCCGGTGCATTCCCACAGACAGGGCCTCTTCAGGGTGCCGTCGGCCAGACAGTGTCGGCTGGTGACCCCCAAGCGGAGAGCTTTCTCTGTGGGCGCACTCACCCTCTGGAACTTCCATTGGAGCTCCGGATGGCCCCTGACCTTTGCTCGTTCCGCCGCGAGTTGAAGACCTGGTGGTTCCGTAGCCTGGACTGATGGGTTTTTTTTAATGAATTTTAAACTGTTTTAAATTGGATTTTAATTTTATATCATTTTAATAAGGCATTTTACCGTTGTGAGCCGCCCTGAGTCCTCGGAGATAGGGCGGCATATAAATTGCATAAAATAAATAAATAAATAAACTCCCAGAATTCATTAGCCAGCATATGGCAACCATTGAAGATTCTAGCCTGACTTCATATTCCTTCCTGTTTTTCAGATCCATATTTTCTCTCACATGCTCTCTAGCTAATTTGAAAAGTGCTCAATTTGAACACTGAGTTGAGTTAATTTAAAGTTGACCCTTTATCATAAAGGAATCATGTAGGCTTCAAAAAAAAAATAGTGCTGAAAAAAGCTACAAAACAGCAATTAATGCAGGATGCTGTGTAGTAAGGTAAAGACATTATAACTACAGGACTAAAAATAGGAATATAAACAGGTAAAACAACTGTAACATCATTCCCCTTTCCTAAGTGTTGCAAAGTTCCAGAAATAAAACACTTATTCAAGTCTAGTTTTTGTCAGAATAAAGAAACAGGGCATTTTCGGGCATTTTAAAATACTTGTGACAAAATCTCTTTATGAATTTAGATAGCTCTTGAGTAACAACCACTCGTTCAGTGACCGTCCAATATTAAAACAGCACTGAACAAGAGGGATTTATGATCTGTGAAGTTGCAGGTATTATGGTATCCCTGTAGTCACATGATCACAATCCGAGTGCCTGGTGCCTGGCTCTCAAGTATGATGTTGCAACGAGCCATGATAACATGATCACAATTTCCAATGTTCCTGATGGCATCCCACAAACAAAACTGCTCCTACTTCTGTTCTCTCCTCCCCCCAATCTCACGCCATAGTACCCCTTTGCAAAACCTCAGTCTCTCCTGTGATACAAATTTTCTGTGTCTAAATTGGGAAAGTGGTTTTAGTGATCCCTATAAGATAGCATTTTGAATTGATATAGGCATCTGATGCAAATCTCAATAAAAAACAACAGCTTCTTGAACAGGAAATATGACATCCTAATTGGACCTTAATTTTTCATTAATTCTGATAATCATGGCTCCAGTCAAGTTTAGTATTATGTCCTGCTGTATTTTTCCTTTTACTGTCTTTAGTAGAGAGATAGAATATGCACAGTAAGATTGACAAATATGCAACCTTGCAGAATTTCCAAAGTATAGAAGTGATTAGTTTTGATCACTTATGCAGAAAAAAAATCTTTTGTTATTGCAGTTATTCAAATCAGCTTTTTAGCCTTGTGAGAAATTTCCTGAAGTTTGGAAATTACTTTGCATGTTGTTGAATTTGATAAAATACCCTAGGTTTCAACTGTTTAAATAAAAAAAATATGTTGAACTAGTAAAAATATTTTTTAAATATGATGGCTGCCATAGATAGATTGTCATTAATCAATTTTGGTAGCCTTAATATGGATAGATTAGTGAGTGAGGGATTCCGATCCTAAGTACGATTTCCATTCATGGAGGAATTTTTATTCAGTTTTCTGGCTTTTGAGAGAGGACTTCCAGATGAAAGTAAGGGAAACAGACAAATACTACTTGCTAGTAGTATTCCCTGAGTAGAATTGTCCTTGCAGAGTGTTCCTTGCAGAATGCTTCCATTTGTGAAAACAAAGATTGATTCAAACCCACAATGGCTTCAGCTTTAAGACAGAAATCCTAAATGTATTTAGAAGTTCACCTGCAATCAGTAGACTAAGTTTTCATTATGGAGTATAAAGTTGGGTAATCCATTTTGATGATTATTATTTTAAGCTAGTATTTTGAAATGACACACAAGAGAACTTTCTAATAATGATGAAAATGGGTGGAATAGGTTGATGTTTTGGAATGGATTAATTGTTTGTCTTTACTTTCTTCAAAGGAAAACAGTGTGACTTTCCTCATATAGAGAATGGAGCACTATCCTGGTCCAACATATATTATAGTGATGTCTCTTTTCCCAAAAAAGTGGGACAAATAATTGGTTTCAAATGTAATCATGGTTTTCTGCCAAGAAATAAAAAACATTGGGATAGAATCAAATGCACTAATTTTGGCTGGGATCCAGAACCACGATGTTATAGTAAGTGCATCATTGTTTAAGTTTCACTTTTATGAGTTTGGAAAGCCCCAACAATATTAACTTTATTTTAAAATATAATTAGCATTAATCTATTTTAAAAACTATTACCAGTAGCATTCTATAATGCATTGGTAGGGCTGAAGAGAATTCAAAGGCAAAATTCTTTTGCAACTTCTTAAAACAAATTTAGGAAGTCTTCAAACATCTTTGCTTTGTTAATTTATGAACCAGTTTTATACACTTTTAAATACAATTTTGCAAGGAATTACATATTTTAGATTTCTTATATATTTTCTATTATCTGATATCTAACAAGAAAAATAAAAAAGAATGTGTTATATTGCATTTATTTATCAATTTTTAGAAATTGGAGTAGTAAAAAAAGCTACACTTGGTTAATTACCAGAAAGTCCAAAAACCCTGAGCATTTTTTCAATTTCCACAAAAATTTCAATCAAATTATTTTTATTGTATCTTTTTTCTTTCTTTTCTATTTTTCTTGTTTTTCCTTTTTTGCAGTTTTTACATTTCTTTTATTTTTTCTTCCTTACTTTATATTAGTTTGTTAGTTTTTGTTGTCGCGTTTAAATTTTTAAATAACAATTATATTATATATATATGTATCTGTTTTCTTTTTAGAACAGTGCATTCCTCCTAAAAACTTGCCACATGGTCATGTGACTTATAACTATGGGAGTACTTTCATAGACGGTGATGAGATTTCATTTAATTGCGATATGGGGTATTATCCTGAACACCATTTACCAATAGCCACATGCAGAAATAATGACTGGTTTCCCACTCTGAATTGTGTTTCTGCAGGTAAACATCACTTAGATCCCTTCTATGTATTTCTGACTATTGGAGAGCAGTACACATTCCATCCAATTCATCTTCCATTCCCTAATCTGGCCTACTCCCTCCAGTTGCACAATTAAAATTCAGCTCTGGTTTTCTTTGCTTTCTTGAAATAATATACGTAGCTCCTTTTCCCAAGCACTAATATTTTAATTGACCAGAGAGAGTTATTTTTAAAATGGGAACAAAACTATCAAAACTAACTGCCTAGTTAATTAGCTTTTACTCATTGAAACTTTATTTATGATGGTTCAGCAGTTAAATTGAGGAAATAATTTTGCTTTGGCAAAATTATTTTGTCCATTGAGTCTTAACAATTTGGGAGTCCTCTTTTTCTTCTTCCGCTAGAATCTGAGGAAGGATTTATTTTAAGTTTTAACAGAACTTACAGAATGAAAAAGTGGTTACCTCTGTGCAGAGGTCTGGATTAATGTAGGGCTTATTCAATGGTCTGATCAAAAAAATATTTAGTTGAAAATAACCACGGTGGGGAAAAGAAAGATCATGACAGTTGATAGGAAGAAGGGGAGAAAGTATCCTCCGGAAACTGAAAAGGTTACTTACTAGAAGAGAAAAGAAATACAATATTGATAGCCAAATCTGGTCCTAGGTTCTGCTTTGGTTTACCTTCCCAATAAGCAACCGAGTCGGAAGATAATTTAAAAGCAGTTTATTAGGGAACCCTGGTAAAGTGAGATCTCCCTATGAAAAGGGAGAACCCCGAGACCTATATTACATTCCTTTGTATAGTTAACACAACAAAGAAAATGCAAGAGAGAAGTTGATTGGACAGCATAAAAGTGCACAGTAAATCAACTACAAAATTGTTTGAAGTGAGATAACCAGATGCCAGTTGACACTAAGAATTTTTTTCTTATCAGGATATAGTCTCCAGCCATCCTTCTGTAGCTTATCTTTTCAGTTTAGGAATGTTAGAAGCTATCCAATCAATCTATACAGCCATAGGATAAGAAATTTTCATATATTCCAGTCTAATGGTTTTATAAAACCGTATCACCTTATCATGCCATTTTAAAAGACACAGAAGTAGGTCAAATTAAAATACAAAATAATTATGTTTAAAATACCAAGTAAAATACAACATATTTTAAAATACAATATAACTATGTTGCTAACAAAATACAAAGTCCATGTCATGTGCCCCTCAGCATAGCTTAATATAGGATTCGACTGGAAGCATCACGGCGGGACAGTCAGGAAATTAGCGGGCTCTGATGAGCTCCGTGAAAACTCGGACTGACGAACCACTGCCGAGGGGTCTTCGGACCAGAAGCATCCTGCAGGGACAGGGAAGAAGGAGAGGCACCTCGGAAGACCAAGAGGAACAGGCAAGTTCCTCGAAGGTCAGAGAAACTGTCTATGACTCAGTGGCGGGGGGTGGCAGCCATTGCAGGTGTCATGAAGCTGGGGCAACCGGACTACGCACTGAGCAGGAGTGATGAATGGAATGGAGTTTTTTGAAGCCGGGTGAGTGACAGCCAACCCATAGTTGAAACAACAATAAGGGAAAAAATGTTTAACTTGAAGACCCCTAGCAATAAAACGGCAGCTAATGAGCACGGGAGGAAGAAAAGAAGATCTTGAAGCACAATTTTAAAGGGACAAAAACCCAATGGAAAATTGGCTTTTGAACAAAATTACTTGGAAAATAATCTGGAAAATTTTAAAAATGAGAGAAATTACCCCAAGATTGGTTAAAGGATCAGAAAGAAACAAATAAATCCTTTTTCCCCCTTTCTTTTTTGAATCTTAAGAAAAACAAAAGAGAATGGACAATAAACCCTTATAACAGAAGTGTTGTATAAACAAAAGAAAAAAAGGAAAAAAGAAGTGAAAAGAGCTGTTTAAATTCAGACTGGACTATAAAACTGATTTGATATTTTTAAAGTTAAAAAGAAAAAGAGAAGCTAGGTAAGATTGCTAATATAGATTGAAACAAAATGGATATTTGTTAGACAATCAGAAATTGTGGATTGCAGAGAGACACCTTCTGGAGTAAAAAAAAGGAAGATAGCAACTTGGTCTTTGTTCTGGAAAATTGTGAACTTTACAGATAACAGCCGTGAGAACTTTTGGGGAGGTTTTCTCTGTCTGCAAGTGGCTTGACTTTGGGAATAAAGAGGGGGGGGGGGGGGAAGGAATACAACGGAATTTTTAAAATTGGAACTCAAAAAGAATAAAATGGTGCAGGAAATTAGAGAAATGATTAAATTGATGTACTTGTCATGGAAAATGGAAATAAGAGAAATAATTACAATGTTACATGGAGGATTAAAATCCAAGGACACAAAAGCTGACATGGAACATATGCAAGCTGAAAATAAAGAAGACAAAGACAATGTCATTAAATATAAAAAGTAACTGAACATGTGGATAGCAATAATAAAAAGGAGGTTTTTAGAGATTATATTGGGATTAACAATGAAAAAAATAAAGAGGATGGAAAGAGACAAATAAGGAAGGAAGGGTGGAGCAGAAAGAATATAAAGAACTTAAATGATTACACTGGGATTTACAGTGAAAAAATAAAAAAGAGAGAAAAAGGGTGAAAATAACAGGAAATATAGGGCAAAATAGAAGAGTTCCGGACTTTGAAATACAAAATGATAATACTGGGCTAAACAGTGGGCTAAACAGTGGTGAAACCAAAAAAAAAAAAAAAAAGAGAGAGAGAGAGAGAGAAAAGAGAGGGGGAACAATGGGAAATATAGGGCAAAACAGGAGAGATCAGGATTTTAAGGCACAAAAAGAAAAAAGGGGAAAGAAAAAGGTAAAAATGAAAATGAAAAGGGAGAAAAGCAAAGAAATGAAAGAGGAATATGATGTATATGACTAGAATTGAAATATGAATTGTAATAAGAAATAATGTTAAATCATATAATGGTGAAAATGAACTGAAAAATATTTGGAGTAATAATTGAAATATTTTTAATGGTTTACGGTGGTACATGTATAAATGATTAAGTGATGATTTGGAACAATATATGGAGAAAGCTATATGATTAGAGGATAAATAGCTAGAATATTTTTAAATTTAAGGAAACTAATAAATGAAATATTTTTAATTGCATATCATGGTGAAAGTAGAAATGATTAAGATGTGGCTTGGAGGAAGATATGGGGAAAATTATTTGATATATGAAAATGGAACTAATTGGAATATCCACACACACATACACACACACACACACACACAAGTTTTGGTGTATTCGGATCTTTTCCCGTATAAGATTGAGAGTATCTTGGTGACGTTTCAATGAGGTCCCACTCGTCATCTTCAGGCTGGTGCCTTTGGCTTCATGCCTGTGCGAGCAAAGCATGATCGGAGCTGCCGACAAGTCGTTAAAACACAAAAGACTAATGGGCACACAGCTAGGACCTTGCCCACACAGGATGTTACGAAACAGCCAACTAATCTGCAAACATCAACTCCATCAACTAATCAAGATATAACAACACAGCCAACCAACCTGCTTACAACAACAAAGCCAACACTCCCCACCTCCCCACCAGTATTTATAGAGAGACGGCATCTCCGATCATGGTTTCTTCACACAAGCACAAAGCCGAAGACACCAGCCTGATGATGAGTGGGACCTCATCGAAATGTCACCAAGATACTCTCAATCTTACATGGGAAAAGACCCGAATATGCCAAGACTTGCATACCTGTACCTGTGAAAACCTACAAAAACACACACACACACACACACACACACACACACACACATACACACACACATCTTTTCCTTCTGGTTCAAATATATAAATGAAAAGGATATCTACATAATTAATTTATTTATATTAAAATGTTGGATTGTATTAGTAAAGGAAATGTATGTTATAAAATAAGTGGGTTTTATTATTACTACAAAAATTAAATAACTGTAACACCACATAATTAATTAATTTGATGATGGATATAAAAATAGATGATAATAGGAAGGGATTTAATATAGAATAGAAGGGAAAATGGAATTTAGTTAAGATCAGAGATGAAAATGAAGGATAATATTGGTAAAAAAATAGATGAAAATAAATATTATGGCAAAAAGGAGGTATAGAAATTGTAATTTTAGTTGAAAGGACTAAAAATTGTTTAAATTTGTTAACCGGCCAAATACTCTGTTCAGCAAAAATACATTGTATGTTTGTGTGTGTGTTTGTGTAAAAAAAATAAAAAAAAACTTTACATAAAAAAAGTATAGCTTAATATAGAAGAGTAATAGGATAATAGTAGGATATAGAAATAATTCCAAATTTGATAATTGTTTTCATTTTCATTTCATTTGCATTTGCATTCAGCAATATCTGCTTTTTCAGCATGGTTGTTCCTTATTTTGCTATTTCTGTTTTCAAAATATAGGAAGTTTTACCATGGTGAAACTTCCAGTTCTCTCCCACTTCACTGTTATAAAGGGCAATAACAGCAGCTAGAACCATTCTTACTGAATCTAAGTTCCAAAGTGTCTATTCCTAAATAATTGTGTATGCATTGTTTATTTTACAGATATTCATCCATCAACTGGGTGAAAGACAGTTCACCCTTCTCCTCTTTCTTCTCCAAACACTCTAGAAAAATGAGAGTACCAGCCTGCTCTTTCTAATTCTATTAGCATGATTTTGATAGCTTATTATATAGATGCCATATGCAGAATCCTACTGGAGAAAGATTCAACTTTAAAAGATTAGTCACTCCTGTATAATAAACTCAAGGCAATCCATGGTTTATAAATCTGAGATATACAGCACAGAAGCTACAACTTACAACAAATAGGTCCTAGATGCATTGATCCTTTGTATCATCGATTTGTATCTTTATTTACTGCTTTCTCTTTGTTTTAATAATAACTGAATTCACTGAAGTGCTTTCAAATGTATTAAATCATCTTTATTTTGTGCCGTTTTGGTTACATAAAGAAATAACCAGCTTTGGATTTTAGATTTTTATCAATGGACCAAAATGTTATAATGCCTTTTTCTAATTAATGAATCTCCTGGAACGTTTATTAAATGTCCTATATCAATATATGCATTTCTCTTCTGTAATTATAGATAATCTAGTCTACATATAAGGTACTTGCTGTTATTCCTATTAAGCACGTGTGAGCATTCTGCCAAATATTCGCTTGAAATAATGGTGAGCTCTAAGCACAATTTTATTTGTAAAATAAAACCAGGACTCTGTAGAACTCCTGCAGTGAATGTTTTATTCCATTCTCATCCGAAAGATGACTTTACAAAAGCTGAATTACAGAATAGTATAACCTATGCCATTTTTCCCACCTCCAATTCTACAGATTCATATAAATGAAGAAGAAGGTTTTAGTAGGTGAACTTTACCAGCATTTAAATAATACTGATATACAGATTCTCATCTGTTTTTATATTATGTGTATTTAGATATACAGACACAATTGTTAATTTGTCTTGTGAGAAACAGATATATTTTCTGAAATAAATATGTTAAAAACAGCAGCAAGCTTTATTTATTTACCATTTTGAGGATTTAATATCTTAAAAATTAAACCTTTCTATAATGAAATCTACTTATATTTTCTCTAAAAGACTAAAAAGGAATAAAGGAAATTTCTTTCCTTTTGTAAAATCACATTTTCCTTTCTAAAAAGAACTTTTCCTGGTTGGTAAGAGGAGAAGGATAGATATTGTATCCTTCTGATAAGGAAGCAATGTCTTATTTTTTGTCTTCTTCTAGCCCTGGGAGCTGATACTATTTTGACCTTCGGAGTATTTGTATAAATGGAACCTAATCCTAGATCTGTAAAATCTGGGGAGAAAAAAATAAGTCCTAAACTGTACAAACAGTTTCCCTGATATAATTGACTAATGGTTAACTACATTTGGCTGAAGACTGTAAAAATCTAGAGGAATTTAAGAAAAGTATTGGATATCTGAAACTTCCTGTAATTATTCCTATAACTATTGACATAATAAATGCAAAATAGATATGTCTGTAACTAATTTAATTAGTTATCAAATTTCTATTCTGCCCATTTCACCTGAATCACTCTGGGTGATTTACATAAAATTGCAGTGTTAAGCCCTGCAAGAATAAGAAGAGAGTTTGCATTTACAAGCATTTTTCATAACTCTCATGTCTAATAATCTACAAGTGAAGACCTTGGAATGTTTTAAAATTGATCAACCCTGGAACAAGTGGTGATTTTTTTTTTCTTTTGAAGATTTCGAATCACTGCTGGAAAAGCTGAAATATTGCTTGATTTGTTTGTTATAACATTGCAACACAAACTTCCCAAAATTCTTGTGAGGTCCTCTCTTAGCTGCAAAGACCATATTCTTATTCAGATAATACTTCCTCTTCATGAACAAAAAGCAACCCAACAAACAAAAGTGAGGAAGTGACAGGTAGTAGCTGGGAGAAATGAGATGAAATAATGAAACTGATGAGCAGAGGTTTGGTAGTTCAGACATTGCCTGAAGAACTATGAAGAACTGGCTGCTCCTGGTAGTTGCTTTTATTCTCTGGCCAGGTTGCTCTTCTCAAAATGGTAAGTTAAGAAGATAAGAAATCAGGGGTTGCTAAGGGAAACAGTTTCTGCTGCAGTCATTAAAGGAACGGTTACTTTTAGCAAAAGCAAAGAGTTCTATTTTTCATTTGTGGCTTTCTTGAAATTTGTAATGCCAGATTCTTTAAGAATGTCATAAACTCATAATTACAATCCCCTTATCATATGCAAAAATTTTCAGCAACTGATTGGTGAATAGCAAAAATAGCGAATAGCATCAGTATTGTAAATTCACACCTGTTTGGGGAGATTTTCTTTCAGTTAACAAATAACTTGATACCATAATAACCAAGTGATTGCCATGTCTAATAATGCTACTTTAAAACTGATGTAAAAGTTTACTCTTTGATTTCATTGAAGTAATTGTGTTTAATGGTTTATTTTACTTATAAACAAAAGGATCCCTAAATGTTGAAATGAACAGGTGTAAAAACGGAATATATTTATTGAATATATTTCCACATCATTCAACCACTCAGATGCTAATGTACTAAAATCAGAGATTACAGAAATAGAGGACTTTTCCTAGCAATAAATCCTGCTGAAGCTTTCAGACCCAAGTTTTTTTTCCCTGTGTATATGTAGAAGAACATGTTATCAGTACTGCAGCTATCTATACTTTCCCCCAAGTCCATCGGAGGTTGTTAACTAGACTAGGTTCTTTTTCTCTATACTTCCCTATAGACAAGGTGATTGTTTTATGATGCCCTCTATTAATGCTCTGCTCTGCCGCTACAGCACATAATATCTCCATAAGAGCATCGATCATGGAGGGACCCTCTGCAATTTCTGTAACATTTTATGTAAAGGAGATGAGTCTTCATAAATCAGAAATTTGAAATTTTAGAGATGCATCTCAATTAGGTTTACATCAGGATAAAAATAAAATCAATTAATAAATATTTGAATTTATGGTAAGAATATCCCTTAGGAGAAGACAGGTAAGATAATATTCACTTTACAACAGGGGTGGATTCTACTTACCTTTACTACCGGTTCGCAACAGGGCCGCACTTTCTCTCTCTCTTCGCTTGCGCACGTGTGCTCTCTTCTGCATATGCAGAAGCATTTTGATGATGTCAGGGTAGGTGGGCAGAGCCTCCCGCCGGTTTTACTACCGGTTCTATAGAACCGGTGCAAACCAGGGGCAACTCACCACTGCTTTACAAGACACAGGAGCTTTGACTGCATTTGCTTATATTCATACTAATCAAAACTTTGAGCCAGTAATTTATTTATCACTGTTTTGGATGGTTGCCAGCAAGTTGCTAGGGCTGAGCTTTCTTGTTTCTTCTTTTTAATCAATTAATAAACTAAATTGCTCCCCATACCCAGCGTTGCTCAGGTTAAACATCAGAAAGGGAAGGTTACATATTATTCATAGTCTGATCTGTCCCCGTCCACACACACACACAAACACAGCCAGCTGAGGGTTAAGGAAACACTTTGGCACACACCCAGGTCTTATCTCCAACTTGGCAGCGATATACACGCCGTCTGCCAAGTGCTTTTATTTCCACAAAACAGAAAGATAAGATACTTAGCGTACAAAAAGTTCAATCAGAATAATATTTCTCTCAGCAGTTCCGGACGAGGCTTTAGTGACTATCCAAGGTTTACTTTTTGTTCGTCACAAGGATCACTGGCCACCACCCTCTATTATATAGTCTCTGGGGTGTGGTCCAGTGACTCAGTTCTAATCCCTAGCACGCCTCCTGAGCTGCTGCAATCGTTTATCACGCCTTCGGAGGCGTGCATCCAGGAATGATGTTTCTCCCTTGCTCTCATCCGAGCCACCTGTCTCCCTGTTAATCTCCTCTCCCTCGGCCGGCACCTGAGACAGTGCCAGAGGGGAGGGGCCTGGAGAGGGAGGCCTGGCTGACTCCTCTTCCTCATGCTTGGAGCTTTCTTCCTCCGATGGGACAGGCTCAGAGGGCGGGGCCACAACATAGTCCTTGAGTTATGACTCACTTGGATTCTGTCCATCATGGTTATAACTTGTTACAGTCCTAAAGAGGGTCGGTCACAGGATGTGATGTGATCAGATTTTTTATAACCATTTTTGTTGTGGCCATAAACAAATTACCATGGTCATTAAGCAAATCCACAGTTGTTAAGTGATCTAATGGTTCACTATTGATGCAGTTTTGTTGAAAACTGGAAGTAAATGCTGGTTTTTGGGCAAAATTGTTAGAAAACAAGGTTGTGTAACCAGGAATGCTGTAAATGGCCATAAATGCAGCCTAGTTGTCCAGCACCAAAGTGTATTCATGTGACCATGGTGAAAGATGACTGTTGAAACTTCAAATCTGGGTCATAACTTCCTCCCCAGGTAAATTCCTGGAAACTTCAAACAATCACTAAATCAAGGACTACTTGTAGTGAGGATTAAGTGCCTAGCAGGTATTAGTTTCCAATTAAGATAAAACTGGGACATGATTATGTAACTTGGTTTAGAGCAGGAAGTTTGTTATCTCACAATTCATGAGTCGTTCATAAGAGTTACCATATTTTTCAATGTATAAGATGATACTTTTTCTTAAAAATATTTACCTAAAAATGAAGGGGCATCTTATACACGGGGGTTGAGAGGAGAATCGTGGTTGCGAAACTGCCGATACCTTATCTCTGCAAACTAGCCTCACAAGTGAAACTTCCGATTGCAGAAAAAAGCTAACAGGTTTCTTCCAGTCATGAGCCTTATGTAACTGACATCAGCTGATGCTATGGAGAGCATGTAGCCAGTGCCCAGATGTGACAGGGAGCGGTAATGTTGGAGCGTTCTGAGCCCATAAAAATGTCAGAAAACAAAACAAAACAAAAATACCAGTACTGGTAAGTGAATGTCTTACTCTGCAAAATAAATGTCTTCTATTTTGATATTGATTTTTGAATTTTGGGTACGAAAAATGGGGGAGGGGGCATCCTATACATGGGGGTGTCTTATAGATGGAAAAATATGGCAATAGGAACAGTGAACTTGTTGAAGCAGGTAAGATAATTTAATGTAAATATAATTTCAGCATGTGAAGAACCAGATGAGATTGACTTTGGGGAAATTGTGAGCACTGAGAAAACCAAGTACCTGGAAAATGACTGAGTGCAATACAGGTGCTACCCTGGCTATGTCTTGGAGGGACCTGAATGGATTCAGTGTCAGGGGCAAGAATGGACACCTCATCCACCAAAATGTTTGGGTAAGCCATCATGCTTTCTTTGACTAGTGCAGAACTGGGAGAAAATGTAAAAATCTTCCAATAGGAGAAAAATTACAGCTGCCAAATTCCTTGAGAATTAGCTTGGATTTGGATCCACATTTTCCCTCTACACTGGAGCCACACATTTTCCTGGTGTCAGATTTTTTTTTTATTTGAAAGCTGGAAAAAATAAACTGATCTAAATTGTTGAATAAGCAAGCAAGTCAGTGAATATAATTACATGATATTCAATGGGAAGCTTATGTTCACTTATGTGGAATGCTGAATAACTGGGGGTAAGGTTACATCTGGATAGAAATTCAGTGATTAATAAGGTAGAAAAGTGAATTCTGTCGCTATGAGATCAAGATTTCTGGCTGTTCCTCCAGTTCCCCAAGTTTATTTCTCAGGCTCATTACAGATATTAGGATGGAATTAATTCAACAAAGGACTTTATAATATTTTTGGATAGCTCAGAAAATGTTTCAAAGGTTTTGCTGATCAAACCTATAATGCTAGAAGAGTTAAATAAGTGGAAGGACACTGACTCATATGACACAGGATTGCTTCACTATTAACAACAATAAGCTCATTAAAATGAGCAATAAGAATAATGTCTGTCTGTCTGTCTGTCTGTCTGTCTGTCTGTCTGTCTGTCTGTCTGTCTATCTATCTATCTATCTATCTATCTAGATAGATAGATAGATAGATAGATAGATAGATAGCTATCTC